CTAAAATGTGTAGATAACAAATACATATTCTCATAAAAATAATCCATACTCTCAGACGACAGGGAAAATAATAACCAAACTAAAAGTGGAAAAAACAACATTTTTCTCTCGAGTCGATTATGTGGGCCGATCCAGTCAGAAAAATCAGAGCAGTGCTCAAAAAAGTTTTATCACAATTAGAAAGTTAAAACCATTCCTAAGAGAATGCTGCTTTTATTACACCCGAAATCGTATTTATTTTCATCTAATTAATCTTAATTAGATCTCCAGCATAACTCACTTATTGTATTACTTGTGCTTGATACACATGCTGGAAGATTAGACTTCATGTAGTGTTTATCAGATGTATTGAGTTGATCAAAATACTCCTTTGTTTACTATATACTGGACTATATACATGTATATATATATGTTACAGTACATATTGTAGAATTAGCCCATAAGAGCTTTGAAAAATCAAGATCTTACACAATCAACGTAAAAGACGGCTTGCCCAACCTTACAGGCAAACTATTATAGACAAATTTGAAGATAAGACTGATATTGTCACATTGAATTATGATAATAAGTAAATAATATTTTTGTAATATTTTGCACCGGTATAACCAGTCCCAGTAGAATAATAAACAGGGTTACCCTAAATTGTAGAAACATGAATATGTTCCCTTCCTGCCCAAACCTTATTTTATTTTTGATTTCTTACACTAAAGTAAACTACTCTTTTTGACATCTTATCATTTTTATTTCCACATAATATTGACGTGAGAACTCAAATGATCAATGGGAAAACAATGCTAAACTTGCACACTGAAATAGGTATTCCAGCAGGCCGAGGAAAATATGGCTAGAAAAAGATGCTACAGGTGGACAAACTATTCCCCTGAAAAGTATTTTAAGGGTCAGATCACTAAATTCATGATTGTGTTGAAAAGCTGTTGAAAATGATTGTGTTGAAGAATTCATATTGCTTATTACGAGTGATTATTTAGCATGTTACTGAATATCTCATCAAGTGACCTAAACTACAGCAGCTAAATAATAAATATAATTGAAATATTATAATTCAGTATGATTCGGAGAAGGGGATTATACAGTTATAAGGGATTAGCAATTTATTTAATTTAGCTCAATTCTTGAATTTGAAGATCTATTGCCATATTGTTTAAAATGCATTATAATCGATCGATCTGATGGTAAGAACTAGTATGTGATATGATCGATTTTACCTTTTTGTCGTCATTGCTGAGGAATACAATAATACCATTCCAATTAATGATAACTCACTTATTGTATTACTTGTGCTTGATACACATGCTGGAAGATATGCTTTTAAAATTAGTAAACCATTACCAAAACTATGGTTACCCTGTAGTAGTGAGAGGCACATTAAAAATGAATATCACCCCCTTCAATCTATTTTTACAGGTTTTTATGATTATTTCACATTTTTCTATATTTTGCGTAACCAGGACGGTGAATTTTCTTCATTTTTCTTCAAACATTTCGCCTTACCAATATTTATTACATCTGTCAATTTCAAGAAAATCGCACCGCTACGTTTGAAAATAATTCAAATTGTATCGTTTTTCCCATTGAGCTCCATTATAAAAATGGAATTTTCAAACTTAATATTTCAAAATTCTACGTGGTGAAAAGTTGCATATTGAGTAGTTAGTTAATGTTATGATGTTAAAAATTCAAAACAAAAAGGAATAAAGAAAAAATGCCACAGAGAAATCTCAAGAGTCTCTTTAACTGAGTTGAAGCAAAAACTATAATGAGGGTTTTAAAATTAAAAAAAAAAATTAATCTGTTCAATAACCGCAAAAGCAAGACCTCCAGTCGACAGTAATGTGGGTCTACGATGTTCTCTGATTCTAGTAACTAGTTCCCGCTTTGTTTCACCTACATAAGTGGCAATACAGTCTTTACAATCAATTTTGTAAATTCTTGCTTCTGCGGTTATTGAACATTCCATGGAATATGATCATAATATAAACTGGAACAATGTAAAAATCATTGATAATGAGAGTCATGATCTTAAACGTAGGGTTAAGGAAGCAATTCATATTAAAACAATGCAACCTAAAATGAACAGAGATAATGGGTATCAGTTGGACAATTTGTATCATAAAATATTGTAAATTAAGAATGGTATAGCAAAGTATGCAATAGTAATATTGGAGTTTAATTGTTACGATAACGATGATATATTTATCTTAAGGTTATTATTAGGTCATTCGTTTTTTCGTATCTATGTTTTTTGTTGTTATTATTTTTTAGGTTACTAGGTCATTTGTTACATAATTAAATTTTCCATTGTCTGTTTATGACGTCACATAAATGTATACATGCTGTTATATTTTGAAAAAAGACTAAGGGATATTAGTCGAAAGTCTCAATAAATTAAAAATATTCTCTGAAGTAAAGAATTTGACTTGTTTCTGATATATTAACCAGAGAGATGAACTTACATAGAACTACATGAAGTGTTTTCTATGCAATGATTATATACAGGCACTTATTCATTGTTACTCCAAATTGTGTGGAATAGAGCATGCAATGTTTTTCAGTTTCAAGCAGGTTTTAGTACATTCTGACCAATTGTATTTTCAGACTTATTCACTTCATGATTATGTAATACTGACCTACTTATCTGCCTAGCATATCTTTAATTTTCGTCACCGTACAGAAAACTGTACTACTGTATTTTTGACGCTGTACGGTGACGCCTGCTTACGCGATGGTTAGGCGTGGAAAAGTGATTCTATACTGAAAAGATGCTATCTTAACCAGATTCAAAAGAATGTTAAGACCGCCTCTTTTCCATATAAGGAATGTTAACGAAAGTAACACTCTTAAAGTATTCATCTAAATAGAATTGAAATACTAGTATAATGATATTCTTTTTATTTAATTGTTTTTGCAGTGCTTCAGTTCAGTTTTTATTACAGTTGAAAAGGGACGTCCTGTGATTAAAGTAAAGGTTATGAATAGAAAATAGTTTTGTGATTTCACAATCCAACCTGAAGAACATGTTTAAGAATGTTGTATTGTTGTCATGGTGAGATTCTATGATACCGACTGACACAAACAGAAGTGACAAATTGACCATTGCAATACAAAAAGTTTCTTTGAAAATATATTCTTTTAGGTCATTTCATATCTTTTTAGTGATATTGTATAAATAGTTTCGGATTCGCCCCAAAGTTTTTAGGAATCCATTATGGTTTTACATCATGTCATTAGTAGTTAGTACAGATTTTGGAGGAATGGACAGAAACTCGATGAAAACATTTTGTCAACATAGTAATTTACAACTGAGAGTGACATTTAAATGTAAAACGTAATGATTTTATTATATCACCAAAATGATTACAAGTGTTATAAAATGTGAAAAATTGCAATTCTAATGCAACTGATATACAAGTCTGACTGATAATAGCATGTGCCTAATGTCATAATGTGCATGTGAAAATAAAAATTGAAGACGATCGTGTGTTATACAAATGTGAACTAATGATTTACTGTGGCAGATTATAATCCCGGGAATATAATTCACCATGTTCCCTTTGATAATATTGTAGTCATATATACATGTTATATGTTTTTGTTCTTGCTTATGTAATTTATATCCTGTATGGTACTGTATAACCTTTTTCATGTTTTCAAATCACAAAAGGCAAAACTATTGATTACAAAATGATTTGATAGCACTCATACTAAATCTGACTGAAACCAGCTTTAAAGTCATCATATAGACTATTAAAATCAGGCAATATCATAGAGTCATACAGTATGCATTTCAATATGTATGATATCTGACTGAATTTATAAGCATTATAAATGTTGTGACATATTTTTAAAGTGTATTTAAATGGGGTAATGTAGAGTAGAGGTATATTACATGTAAAACACGTTTCAAAAATATATACAAATGTGACTGAAACCAGCAATTAAAATGTACAATATTGTTTAATAGATTTGATAAACCAAAGCTGAGTAAATATAAAAATTCTTAAAAATAACAGTAAAAAACCCTGTTCCATTTTGTAGTAAGTAGAAGTTTGTCTAGCCTTGTACTAAATACTATAGTATTTTCAAAACTATTAAAATGCATAAAGTTAAAGCCCTGCTTATTATTGTCATACTACTTTTGTAATACAGCGTGCGTGGCTTATATTTTCTGGATATATAGGGGTTATGCACTGGGAGGTTTTGGATACAGGGAATATCCCGAGGGATATACAATATATCTTCCCGAGGGACCGGAGGGACCGAGGGAAGATGTATTGTATATCCCAAGGGATATTCCATGTATCCAAACCGACCGTGCATAACTGGTGTATCTCATACTTGAGTGGGTTTAGGGTAGATATAACCTTTTCAACCTTTTTCAAATGACAAGATATTTATATTTAACATTTTCGTAATATTCTTTTTGTTTTGAAATTGTAACATTTAAACTTAAAAAAATTAAATTTTAAAATTAAAAAAGTAAAACTTTTGTTATTTAAACTTTTGAAAAATTCCCGAGAGCGGGATGGATATATTATATCTGCCCGAATTTGGCCTGGAGCGGGACATATACAATATATCATGCCCGCTCCTCAGATACGATATATTCCCGGGTGATATCTACCCCAAACCCACTCAAGTATGAGATACAATGCAATATTTGCATATTTGCTATTTGCGATGTCGGCCATATCTGTGACTGATAAACGATATCAAAACGATTTTTTAAAAAATATCACATGGATCATGTATCACATAATATCAGAATTACTACTGGGTGTTATTGTACATATAACACAATAATAGTGAAATAAAATGCATGCAATATTTAATTGCGTATTTCCTAGATTGCTAGATATTTTATGAATGACCATTTGCAATTGTGTATAGTGCAATATTTGGCCCTTCATAAATGTAAAATCTTCGTGACGAAGTAAACTCATCATCTCCTCATAATGATCTTAAGATAATTGATACAACATTCATTCATGGTAATATTTGTAGGACTTGTTATTTATCCTATCATAAACAGCATGTTGTCTAGAACTCGTTTCATCTGATGGAATCCTTTCATAACCTTGTTTCTTGACCTTCCTGGCAGATATCTGATATACATGATATATGATAGATAAGACAAGAAGTGTAGAGACAGTCCCTAATGCTACCACAAGTATTTTATTGTACTGCTTAGTATTTTCAAAATCTTCTTGAGTTGTGTCTGTTTGTCCTATAAGTACAACAGATATATGTGCATTAAAATTGTGTGCATATTTATTTAATAAATAACATATACTTCTATAGAATTGGTATACTGATTTACCCATAGCCATAAGAAATATGTGAAACTTTAATTTCATTCCATTCATTTAACATAGGTTTTTTAGAGTTGTGCACTACAGGGAATTTTTGAAGCTATTTTACAGTGCGTATCAAAAAAAAACGCAACAGATTGTTATCGCGGAAAAGCACAAAACCAGTGATAACAGTATTGATTTCATTCAATGCACCATAAAGCCACGTGTCTCCTCTTTACAATGATACATCATTCATTGATATTTGGTCATGGTTGGGCGAGTAATCATTCCATTTGCAAAGTGGGCCAAAATTAGCTTGGGACCAAGTTATAAACATCGCAAAAGTCAGTGTACGGAGCCTGATGCAATATTGGAAGAAACCATAAAACCAATGCTGACTGCATCCTTTTCATTCAATGTACCAAAAAGCCAAATTACTCCTCTTTGCAATGGAATATCATTCATTCACATGGAGTCAATACTGGCCGAATAATCATTAATTTTGCAAAGTGGTGCAAAATTCAGCTCGGACCCAAGTTTTAAACATTGCAAAAGTCAGAATAAGGGGCATTGGGGCTATTGGAAGAAGGTGTGACAGGTGTGGCATAGACAGTAAAGTGGTCATACTCATACTCTTGCAAGAATACATCCTATACCCCTCCATATTGCCACCACTTCCTTGCACATAAAGATGCGCTCATCTGTCCACGTCATGCATGGTTCAGCCCTGAGTCATCTGTGGGTTAAAGCAGAGAAAAGCAGCCCATGGGCAATTCTTTCTCGAGGTTTTGCAATATCGGGTGGAGGAATTGTGAGCACAGATGCTCCTGAGATAGCTCCAAAAGAAAAAGTCACAACAATTCAAGTCAGAGGAACTTCCATTGGCACTTAACCCTTGTACTGATTTTTGCAATATCTAAAACTTGGTCCACATCCGATTTTGACCCACTGTGCAAATGGAAGGTGTAATGTCGTCGAACACAGGCCTTGGGGCTAGGCAGAAAAGCTTTCGAACCCTTTACTCTCCCTTTGGTCGTTCGGGTTACAGATAACGTTTGTGCCTAGCCCTGCGGAGTGTATTCGTCGATATTACCTGTGCTCGTCGGTCTATATTTCTTAAATATAAAATACCCTTAACTATCTTATACTCTGTCCTAGGCTAAAGAAAAATTGTCCCCGGACCAAACAGAAAACAATAGTACAATCCAAAGATTGATCTCACTCATATACATTTAAATTTATTCTTATATTTATTTTGACAAATGATATGTCAGTAAAAAAGACTATCATATCTAGTACATAATCTGACATACCTGGGGGTCTGGGATTAGCCATCAGCTCATTGAATGTATCTTCAGAGAAACTAAAATCTCCACACCTTTGCATATCAGGTGGGGCAGCATTCATGTCTGATATGGCTCCTTCTTTAAAGATCATCCCCATTCCCTCGTCATTGTGAAATTCAATGTGGCAGTGAGAATACCAGAAACCTGAATTCAGATAGAGTTGTTTCTTCGATTGTTGTTTTTACAAGGTGTTGTTTTATTTACATATTTTGCTCTGACTTCTGTGTTGGTTTGATGTACCAGTTTGTGTAGCTATTTGTGCGATGGGGCTTCAACTGTCAAGCATCATTCAAATCCCCAAATTATCCTGATAAACTATGTCATCTTGATTCCCTCTCTTGATATGTTGCTGGTTGAAAAACAAAGATATGATGAGTATCAGAATGCCTTTTATAACTGCAATATATTTGTGTGACCATTAGTCACTGGACGAGCTAAATCCTACCTGGATTGTCTGCCTTGAATCTGATCACGACATATCCCCCTGCAGGTACAAGAACAGTATCTTTAAGAGGGGCCCCTTGATTCACAATGCCAGGGATGTTTCCATTATACCAGCTTGAGTTCCTCCACCTTACATCATCATGACATAAACCCGATGGACACTCGAAGTCACTATTCCGCTGCATGTATCTCCCAGTCATATTATTATAATGTGGCCAGCCTACTTTGAGCACTTGAAAGCTATGGCCATGGATGTGGATTGGATGAGAGTTTCCATTTAGAACTCCATCTGCAATGAAAATGTAGCATGTCATTGTGTCAGAATATTAAAACGAGATCTCGCTGGACATGATTTACTAGGAAATAATGATTGAAAATGACATTGTTAAAAATGTGAACCACCATAATTTTCTCTTGCATTAACAATTTTTGTCCCACAATTTCTTGAGAAACGACCTTATTTTGTGTGCTTTGTCCATGGAAAAGGACACGGATGAGGTTTTTTTTTTATTTATTTATTTTTTTATTTATTTATTTCATGATAATATAACAATGAAATGTACAAAGCATGTGCATTTAAATGGCTAATAGCTACCATTTCACACCAACCCTAAACTATTTTTAATGTGGAGTAAAATGTAACTTAATAACTTAATAGACTTGGAAAAAACCTTGTGTTCTGTAATTATTGAAGCTTGAAGTTCAGCATCAAGTCGATCTTTGTTATCATGTTCCAATCTTTACTTATTTTTCATACTGTGTATCTTTGTACATTTTTGTCTTACATATTGTTGTAAATTATGACATGATGAAAAAAGATTATGAACTCCTAAACTTCTGACTTACTGATTGCTGGTGATATTGTTGTCATAAGTACTAATTGTATAGTGTTTCCCAGAGGAAGCTCCACCATGTGGGTGCACTCATCAACATCAGGATTTGTTCCTAGCTTACAAATGCCATGTTTTGAATCAAGTGATTGTGGATACACCTGAAGAATAAAAGCGTAATCTCTATATCATCCTGTCATACATATTTGAGATATTTATGTTTTTATCTGTGAGACTGTAATGTAACGTCACGGTAATGCATATAATTCAACCCACTGTATAGCTTGCCATGTATGACTATCATATCAATGGAATTACCTGGGGTGGCATAATGAATGGTTGGTGTCTTCTGCCATTCACTGTAGGAACCCACTGGCCTAAGACATCAAAGCCAGAGAAATGATAATTCAAAAACATTTCAGTGAAATGTTCAGGATCTGAGTTGTGAGTGGGATCCATCAGAGGAGATCTTAGATCTGTGAGAGGAATACACAATGTATTTTCTTCAACAGGGTAAAACCTAAAATGATAGAATACTGATGTGGAAAGAAGCTTGAAAATTATATTATACTTATTTATGTAAAAATTGAAATAAGTAGCAAATACATTTGCCAAATATCCTTTAATATTTATTACTGGTACATCATATTGGTATAAACCTTTTTCTTAAATTTTCTTAATTTGGCTCTATGATTATGACATACACATGCAAACACTTGCACAGATGTGTGTGAGACTGATATGATACTAAAATGAGTATCTGAAATATATAGATATACCCTTTGTAAAGAAAAAAGGTGCCTATAAGGTGCTTTATCAATCATATGTTTTTACATTTCTGTATTATCATATAAGAAACATTCAGAGCAGGTAATTCCAATTTTGTAAATATGGTTAAAGTCTAGAAAGAAGTTAACAGAACAACTCATAAAAGCGTGAGTGTGACTTTTCACCATAAATTAATGCCACAAACATTAGAAATCCAATATCCAACTTAACTCAATTGCTAGTAAAGCTTAGAATACACTATTTTTAAAAGTTTTCAATCTAATAAAACTTAAATATCAGTAAAAGAATGAAAGTCTGATTAATCAAAACTATCTTTTGGTTTTTGAGGTAATATCCATCAGATTCAGAGATTCCTCCTCATTTCAAATTTAGAGGAAGCAGTCACATATATAACAATAAACATGAAATTTTATGATAATAATGATAAGCCTAACTTTTCTCAATCATCCATAATACACTTTATAATTATGCATACGAAAATTTCATTCAAATGTGAATATGTTTTGGATTGGCTTTGGCACTACTGTACGTTTTGTAAGTGTTTTAATATTCATAATTATTTTTAACCTGTCAGTTATGAACAGTTTGGGCAGGGTTTACAATGGTATGAGGAATGTCACATATTAATAGTAACCAAAAGCCAGAAAATCTAGAAATATGTATAGTTGAAGATCCATGATTTTACTGCTTAGAACCTTTAGTTTTGATATTTATTACTCAGATTCATGTTTTCAAAGCAAATCATTTTTCCTTGAAGATTTTTAAAGTTATTTTATAGAGGATTTGAGCAAGGGGTGATTTTCAAGAATTATTTTTAAATATTTTTGAAAGAAATCTTTAATCCGGGGCGTATCGAAACCAAAAGCCAGAAAATCTAACTCACCGGGGCGTATCGAAACCAAAACGCCCCGCAAAACCGTTAATTTGAATTTCAAACCTACCCTTTCTTTGGAAAATCAATGATTGTGAGTCTCACAGTACACCGTTTTTCTTGTTCCATTAAAACCTTCACAGAAATACCTTTCACTCGAGATATTGCTTTTGTGTACAGAGTCACTCTTTTTAGCGGCGTTTTGGTCCCCAGATGTGAGAAGATCCACGGCTTAAATCTTTAAGATTTCCACCAGCTATTCACAATACTCACACAATATACCTCAAAGAGTTTGGTTGTATTATACAAAAAATATTAAAAATGTTATGATTTATAAGGACCATGCACCTTTCTTCTTTTCAGGGGGTATATATTTATATACCTGTATGGACAGTTTAAAACAAGGCATGGTTTTCCAGCTGTACACTTGTTCCTGTTTTCATGGCATATTTTGAATTTATTGGTTTTGTCTGGTTTGACATTTTGATATCTCAGTAATGCATACACCTTCCCAGGTTCGATTCTCTGAAAACGTATTTATTTTTAGTAATTGACAACTTGTATGTTGATTAATTGGTTCTCATTGGAACTTTTACATGGCTAGTTAGTTGTTCTGTCGTCTGTAATAAGGGTGTCTACTTGACAAACAGCTAACTAGTTAGACAAAGGTTTCGTTGAGAAGCTAAAGTGTAAATTATTGGTTGTGGTCTTGGGTTGTAGTAGCTAAAACGTGGAATATGTTTAGGAACTTTAGGGAATTATTCACTAATGTAACAGACTTATATACTTAAAAGACCACGATCTAACATGTCTTCTCAATTTCTTATTTTCTATTGATATTGACAATATGTACCAAAAGTAGATCATTTGATTTGGTTTATTGGTATTGCAAATTTGCATTTTAATTCCTATTGTTGTGACTTTATAACACCATGCGTCGGAATGCTTGAAGGCTTGATTTGGATTGTTAATCTGCAATTTATATTTTCGTGCATTGCATTGTACAATATGTATTGTTTTATCAAATGAGGATATGTTAGAAATTATTCTGTAAATATGTTATTTCAATGGCAATATATATTGTTTGGATTGAAAACCTATTCATTAGCCTACCTTGCCATTTTTTTCTTTCTCGAGCGTTTCGAATCGTACACAATATACTCCAGTACCAAGTGGATCAGTTGCATTGATCCAGAAATCATATCTTTCGCCCCCATATATAATGACGGACTCTACTGTCATTGTATTCACATGGTTACCGTCAGTAGCAATAACATTAAGAGGATGATGGTCAATGGACACTCTGAAGGCAAAATGCATCGCTGCATTCACTAGGCGGAATCGCATTGCAACTCCACCAGATGCTGAATTTTCCACAACAAATGTTTCAGTTGGTAGACCTTCATTGATATTTTTGCCAGGTTGGGTGATGTGCAGGTTACCTGAAATAGTAATACAATAATATGATGTACATGCACCGTTCATCGAACAAGAGTAGACAACTGACCATGTTGGTAACTTTGACTATCAAAACATATGATGTACATAAAATTGAGAATTGACCATCTTGGCAAGAATGACTGAATACACATCATGTACATCAAAAAAGAAGAAGAGTTACAGCGGAAGAAAAACGGAAGATATCAATCAATGAATCAATTAAAACAATAAAATAATCAATTGATAAATCACATGGATTATGATTGATTTTGATAGGTGTAAGACTGGTTGTTGTGTACCTTTCCCGTTGATTATTCCTGCTTCAAATGGCAAGACACCTGAATCTATTCCATCTGTCTGTTTAGAGGATCTGAAGCAGACTGGGTTGTCAAACCCAGTTGCAAAGCTAGAAGGAAAAGAGAAATCCTTTTCATTTTGTAAATCTTAATTTAATGGTTTACGAACATTTTGTAAAACATAATTAGTATTATTAATTAGTTAGCACATACAGTACACTGTACCTGACATCATCAAAGTGAAGTAAGGTAGCAACATAAACGGAGCTCTCTTTCAACCAGTCCTGGACAATCATATGGTGATCGCTACCGAACACAGGAAGCTTATCACTGCCCTATAAATTAAAACACCTATGCAATATAAATATATCTACATACCAATACTAGTATATATTCTACGATGATCAATCTACTACTGATCAAAGTTTTATGTTAGTCTCAGTTGTAGCTAAAGTCAAGCGACCGAACCTTTATCAGGCTTCAGCTTAGCTTAAAGGAATATTCCTTGCCAGACCCTTTCTCTCTTGATATGGTAGCTATAATCATATATATAGTTTCCATATTTAGCAAAACATGGGAAAATGTTTTAATATGGTCAGTATTGATCATTTAAAAATCTAGTGCGTATTTCCAGTGAGCTGCCATCTTTTAAGATTTCTTGCAGGAAGTGATGTCATCAACTCTCAACTTCTATAACCTTGCCCATAACAGTATAGGAAAGTAGCACAAAATCACTTCTAGACAAGTGATCATTACTTTCTGTGCAAAAATATTTTCAGGGCTTGTCAACTTAGAATAAAAGAAGAGATTTTCAGAAGGATTAAATAAGATACAAAGTTGAAAAAGAATATTTAGCTGGTTTTGTAATTCTTAATAGCTCCTCACCTAATGCTATATGCAAAGTTGAGAGTCGATGACATCACTTTCTGTGTGAAATTTTAAAAGATGGCAGCTTACTGGAATTGAGCATCACATTTCTAAGTGATCAAATTTGACCATATCAAAACATTTTTGCATGTTTTGCTAAACATGGGAAGCATATATATGGTTATAGCTACCATATGAGGAGAGAGATGGTTTGGCAAGGAATATTCCTTTAAGTAAGAAGTAGAAGTCCCTTGGGCTATACGATGCCAATACCATCCTTGGTCAAAGGATGTTTTAATTGTTTCCCAAGGAAAGCGAGGCCAAATCTTGACGTATGAGCCAATACTAAAACTCACCTAAGTAACAACCCCAAAGTAGGGCAATGAGATTACTTTGACTCGAAAATCATATCATATCATATAATCTAATATAATGATCTGGTGGGTTTCTAGTTGGAGGTCACTGTCAATACGGCATTAACTTGATGTATTTGTTATATGACTGCAAGATCCGATTAAAACGATGTATGAACAAAGTTAGCCTAACCCACAATGTGAACCATCGTCATAAGATAAATTTGATTTGATACCAATCATGTATAACCTACCCTTCTTTTAATTTCATCTGCTTTCTTCTCCAACACTGTGAATGCCCCATAGATTCCCTCGGTTCTCTGCGCACCAACATGGGCGTGGTACCAGTGGGTTCCAGGGTCATCAGCTATGAACCTTAAAACACACACATTAGAATTATACTAAAAGCAATCTAAAGCTGAGGAAAAGGGTTAAGGGAATTACACTATTTGTACTTTGGGTTTTAATATACCATTAGAACGAGTAAACTGTAAAGAATTAGGATATATCATAAAAATAATGGTAAGGTGGCAATTTTTGAAAAATATTTAGCTCAAATGAGTTGAATGGCAATTTTTTCAAAATGACCTTTGACCTCAAATAATGACCTACATACTACCACACCCATTTTTCATCCACCATCCTTGTATCACATTTTAGCGTTCTTCCTAGCTCAGAATGATATATTTACAAAAAGTAAAACGATGAATGTAAATTTTAAAAAATGTGATGTGGAATAAAGACATAAAGAGTAAAGACTATACATAAGACCCTTGAGATGACATGTGATTTTTCTTTTTTCTAAATAATCATTAAGATCTGAAAGTTTTACCAAGTAACTCAGTTTTAGAGTAAGCCCTGTTTTTGTACGAACACCCATTTTTCCATGTCCGGTTAATTGTAACTAGAAAACATAGAACTGAGAGTGATGGAGGAATATTTTCAAAGTTTGCTAAATGGACTGGACAGACAATTTAATTATCATAAACATCTGAAAGTTTTTCCAGCAGGTTGTTTACTGGTTTATCGTCACCCATTCTTTCATGTTTGGAATTGCATTCAGCTCATTAATAAACCCACTAGATAATTTACAAAATTTCTATTTTGCAAAAGCTTATTGGAAAATAAATGCTCTTCATCATGTGAAAAGTTCAGCTCTTTTCGAAAAAAAAGTTATTTACGTTTCATTTTGGTACAATTTGTGGGACACCGTGTATATAATAGTAATCTTGGAAAGAAGTCAAAGTACAATATCTGCTATTTGTGTAAATTCGATGCATTCCATGTACCTGTAAGTGAATGTTTCATGTGGATTGATGGTGCATTGTGAGACCGCCCCTACCCCATCCATCCACGGTGAGTTCCGCTGCTTCACACCGTGCCAGTGTATCGTCGTTCCCTCATTGATCAGCTTATTCGTCACGTGGACCACAACCTTAAAGTGGCAGCAAAGAAAAATGTAAGACGTTGAAAGCAATATTTTCTTTGCAATCTGTGAAATACAAATTTAGATATTAGATCGTTTAGGGAGGATTTGAGATGCAGCAGTACAAAATTAGAATTCAATAGGGGACGTTTTAGAAAACAGGAATGGTATTGAATGTTGTGAGCAAGAAGTATTTTAAAATTAATTTTTAGAAAGTTCTTTACTTTTGAAAAAGCGGGAAAAGGATTATAAAACAATACAGTACAAGTCATTAACATGACAAAATGTCACCACCTGCAAATGGTTATAAAATTGTTTTGGACATCAATATGTTTTTTCAATCAAGGTGACCTTATTTGAATAAAAAATCAATTTGAAAAATCAACTTTTTTACCTTTGGAAAGTCACTGAAGGTCAACTACACATATATAAACTCCAGGCAACTTGAAAATGATGCTTAAAATATTATGCTTTCAAGTTGATAGGAGAAGGTGCGATAATTTGCAAATACCCTTATGGTCAAAATGAATCATTCTGAGGTGTAACATGAAGAATAGAATGTCATATAATTCTTTGGAAATATTAGGGTGCTTAAAGGCACACATAGGCTGAGATAGGGGTCATTTAGTTCAGCAAGGTTGTATTGACTTTCATTGGGCTGTACATCACTGACTTAACATGTAGATATCATCATATCTCAATAGTGGCCATTGGTTTCTATTGATTATCACAAAAATACCAAAATACACTATGAGCTGAATCGATTGCAAACTTAATAATTTTACAATATGACACAAATGGTTTATTTGATCAACTATGCAAATATGAAGTTTGCAATCGATTCAGGTCATACTTTAAATTAAAAGATTGTACATTTTTTTAATCATTTTTTCCCTACAAACACGCCTGACCATCGACAAGGTACAGTCACGTGACAGTGACAAAATATACCGTAGTACACTTTTGATGTACGATGTCATTTCCGCCATTTTAGATCGCCATTTTCTAGAATGAGGAAGTGAGGAAAGATCTTGCATTGATTTGATCAATATTGTGTCAGTTCATCATCGGGTAGTTGTTGCATTCGATTTGTAATTAAGTTGCAAATATGCACATCTACCTCAAATGATCTTCAGCAACTTCAATAGCTTGTTATAGATCTACCCAGTACGTCAGGGATCTCTAAATCTTGACTGAATTTCGCAAAATTCTCTCTAATTTTTGTTTTGCTATGCAAATAACAGCCAAACTACGACTAACACAACTTAAGATAAGTATACAAATATACATCCAGAGTTAATGCAAATCCGCTTTTCACATTGGATGCTACTACGAAAAATAGATAATGTATGTTGTCAACTCGAATGGATGTTGTCACATTGGCCTTACAGATCTCTATTCACAATATAATAGGCATATCAGAAATATTTACTCTTATATTTTGTCCGTTAATCCATACAATCGTCATTGATATGATTAAATTTCAATGTTACTATTTTTTGTGTTCCATAACCTGGCTTTTGAACTTCTGCACTTTCCAGATACACAGAGAGTCCCAAAGTATGCCCCCCCCCCTAGGCAGACATATACCAATTTCTCCATAGTATGTGTCATATATTTATTTTTAAGCTTATCCAAATTTACATTGATTTGCCAAATATGATGGTTCAAATGGTAAAAAGTAATAGGCATTTCAAAAATTAGCGTTTTGCCCAAAATATAGTTCATTTCAGTATCCTGGAAACAGCCCTGACCTGAATGTGACAGAAAATATGGATCCTATTCTCGAAGATAGGATGGATATTGAGTTCTAAAAAGATGACGTTTAGGGTGGATACTCCAAGGAATCTCTTCGTATGCCTTAAAAAGGTTTTATGAGGATTACAAAACGCCATATCCCTATTTGAAGCCTGTTTAAGGTCATATATCGAACGTATTACTGCTGTTAACATGGCGGCTAAGGAGACACACCGACTATTGTTTTGGTGTAAAACTGACTTTAACTTTGGCCAAACACTAACTTTTGAAATTCCTGTAACTTTTTTCCATTTGTGAGTTGAACCATGATACTCGGCAAATTAATGTAACTTTGGATGAGCTTTAAAATGATATGTGACACATACTATGGAGACATTGGTATATGTCTGCCTAGGGGGCCCATACTTTCGGGACACCCTGGAGCATAAATTTTGAAAGTCATCTTGGATTAGCTAGTATATATAGATCTCTCCATAAACTCCTTAAGATTATTAAAATTCATAAAAGTGCAAGTAAACGTAGCGTACCGACGCCGAGTGGTCAAAGAGGTCGGAAGATAACACGCCATGGTCACATATAACACTTTCATAAAATAAAATAGCATTCAACGAAAAAAATCACTTTTACCTGTTTATCTGTACTAGGGATACAGGAGCATGTTCGTTGAACATCACTTGTTACGCATAAAACCCTTAATGCATTTTGAAATTAAATCATTGCAATGTAAATAAAATATTTTAACTCAGAATTTTAATTACAGGGACAACATACACTATGAGTTGACAACGTACATTTCTGATTTTTTAAATTATACCAAATGCATGAATATTTATTAAATCTTCACCCGTCTTAAAGAGAGAATCAGAGATAGCGAGCAGGCTAAACGAAAAATTGTTTCAATCTTAGAATATTTTTGGCTCATGTCCTTCCTTGTCATGTCTATTTTCTAAAAATCACAAAAGTGCATACTTTATTCAAGGAAAACGAACGATTTTTACAATAATGTATCATTTCTCTATAAGAATGGTTACCATTCTTATTATTTGGGAGAGTTTAAACATTTTTCACCCATTTTTGCACTTTGAATCATTAATAACTTCACCTATTTATAACATATTGTTAATCTTTTGGGAGATATTATATTTGATATTGTAAGGAATAGATTGCTAGGTCAATTATGCAAATTGCTTGTAATTTTATCACCCCCAATAGATATGATTCTGCCTTTAAACTGTGTAGTTTAGAGAAACACATTCTCATAAAAATATTCGACACTCTGAGACGTCAGGGGAGAAAATTATCAAAGGAAATGTGTAAAAACAACATTTTCCAACCGAACAATTGTATGGGTAGACTTACAACGAAAAAAAATCGAGCACTGCTCGAAGATCTTTTAAGGTAATTAGAAAAATAAATTTCTTTGAAATCGAATACACGCGAAATCAAACATGAAATCCTTTATGTATTCCTCAAATTTATTTTTGAAAACCTGCATCAAACCTACATCATAGTCCTTGCTTAAAATTAGTTAATAGTGACATAGTACATTAAAAGTGTACTACGGTATATTTTGTCACTGTCACGTGACTGTACCTTGTCAATGGTTAGGCGTGTACAAAATGGCTTTAGAAAAATGCTCCAAAAACAACTTTTACACTTGTCAAATATCATACAACTCTGTAAAACCAAAGATTATACTATTATATTTCCTTATTTAGTAACATATTTGGATAAGATGTAGGGATGCGTAGTAATTTGAATATTTAGTGACATAGTGACATGTAGTGACATATTGTTTTAGTCCCAAACCTTTTGTGAACGGTGTTCGGGGGTCAGCGTTTAGCGTCTGTAACAAATGACACGTGGTGTTAATTTGAGATAACTGATCGCTACAGGGTAATTGACTCATGTCTCATACAGTGTAATTCGATAAAAGTTCAAATTAAATGATACATGATGGATCATCAAATACCTGTTGTCCCTCATAAACGACAATAGGAGGACCTGGTATGGACCCATTGATTGCATGGACTAACTTATAACCTCCATCGGCAAATATGATGTCATCAGAATCTGGAACAAATGGAAAGAATTAGATTGGTACCGTTTTTTCTTTGGTTAACTTGAACAAATTGTAATATCAAGAATCAATATCAAGATATTAGGAGCAGTAATACACTTTGTTGTAATTAAGCTTACCATTCATACAGTGCTACATGATTAGACTATATCCTCTGGTCTGAAATTTTGGGAAATTTGGAATGAAAATATTCAGACTATAGCCCACAATCTGGGATTAAAATTATTTGTATACATAGGAAGTGCCATTCAAAGTGGCCGATGGAGTAAATTGATTTGCATATTTGTTACTTCCCCTAGCTTTATTTCCATTTGACAATACGCTCCGTTACTTTTAATAGCATTTAATTGTACCTTACTACTTAATTGAATTGTTATAATGTTTAATTTTGGGACGTGAAGCTTCCTAAAATTGATAAATTTGTGCTGGAAATTTCCTGTTTTTCCCACTGGAGGGACACAGTGATCAATAGACTGAATTCTCAGGATATTCAGTCTATTGGATATAGACTAGCTACATGATGATATAGCCTATGTTCAAATGTCACCCTTTGCACCTTTTGATTACCACATATGCTTACCATCTTCATCTATGTGTATAAAATCGTCACATGATGCCGTTCTGTACGAAAGAGTGCCATTTGACATCACACGAACAGGCAGCGTCTTTCCGTTGACCTTTTTAGTCATGGTGAACTTATGCTCAATGACAAGGTAAAACTCGACCGTTGATTGGTCCTCATCTGAGCCAGGTGTTACCTTATTGGTTCTAACAGCGCCATGTGTGATGACGACACCCAGGGAAAGCAGTATTCCGTGAAATAGTATAAATATTCTCATAATTTACCATAGGTGCCGACGTTTATAAATTGTTCACTGCCACCTAAAAGCAAAGGACATGTAGCATTGTATTGAAAACATTTTGTATTAGCTGATTGCTGTTATGTAATCCAATAAATATAGTATTACAACTACAGTAAAATTTTAAATGTTTGTGAGTACTTTGAACTTAAAAATAAGCAATCAACTGACCAAATTGAAACAGTTTATGTAAAAATATATAGAGATTATCCTATAGTCGGTTCAGGATATTGGGATTATCTCGAGGCAAATATAATATATTTGCCCGAGGGCCGCAGGTCCCGAGGGAAAATATATTATATTGGCCAAGGGATAATCCCAATATCCTGAACCGACTATAGGATAATATGTTTATCCCATACCAATCTTGGTCATCTGGTTAACATTGTTCAATCATGGAAATATTTTAGAATACTCATGTCCAGTTTTGTTTTCTTGGCCGTGGGCGGATTTTCCTGTTCTCTCAAATATTCCCATATTTATTTTCTCTAATTTTTGATTGGTTAAGTGGATGCTCCTTCCCTTTTTTAAGCCATCAAACAGATCCCGATAGTCTGTGTTTTCTCCATTGTCGTTTACAGTCATTACGCGAACGTTACAAATTATGAACAAATATGCGAGCTGCGATTATGACGTAGCGGGCAGATATACTATATCTGCCCGCTCGGAGCGGGACGTAAAGCTATATCTGCCCGCTGATGAAAATATAAGTTTTTACAAACCGGCTTTATGTACCTGTAACACGTCCAAGTATGGGATAAAAATATTTATCCTAACTTTTGTTTATTTTAGTATGTATGCAACTCTGTGTAATTAACATGAGACCTTCAAAATGAGCTATGCCATGTTTTAGTCCATGGTATGAAATTTCTAGGACGTCTAATTAAGGAGTTGGTGGCACCATATCTGCATAACGATATTTGAGCTTATATTTAGATACCTACATGTGTCCCGCGTTTTATTTTTTTATAGCCGTGATAAATACGGCGGGCTTTTAGGCCGAATAATGCATGTCATTATCAGGGGTAAAAAAACGTGTAAAAAGTGTTTCGTATTTGTTTCCTAATTTAAAGTACAAACATTAAAAGAAAATGACATGAAAATATTTTTAATATATACATCAAGTTTCTTGGCTATAATTTTGCGGTATGTGTTCCTTAAAATACCTTATATATAAAAAATCAATGTTTCACCATTTTATGTCGTTTTGGAGATATTGGTGAAGCAATCAATATATTGGCACCTTTATTACCTGTGAATAACATATGGTTATAATATGACACTTTTTTACTAAATTAGTTGTAATACATTTTGAGATATGGACAGCCGTATTCAGGGATCAATTGCCAATAAATGGATACTCGTTGTTCTTCCTTGTCTAATACCGTCTGCGATTGAAAATTGTTGCATATGGTTGAACATGAATTGGTTGCTTATATAAGGACCATATCATCAACATTTGAAATGAATCATGTAAAAATGAATCGATGTAATGCATCACAGTGACAAATATAATTGTTATATTATCACTGTGATCATACTGTTTGCTACACATTAATAAAAAATCAGAATTCTGAAGTAACAAAACATGAACGCACAGGTGGAATAAAAAAGGCACAGCAACAAATGTAATGTGTTCAAGAGTATACTAATATAAGGGAATATCAAAGCATTAACATGCAAAATGCCAGAACGCATATTTGTTACATACACCGAACGCCGAATATGTACTGTCAATGGAAACTATAACAATATCACGGTGTCCGATACTACCCAATGTAAATCGTTCCGGACTTGTTTTTCATAACCATTTGGACTTGATTTATGGAAAAAAGTAGAGGTATGTTTGTAAATTTGGTTATAAAATTGCTTTCACTTGACTTTATGTAAATATAATACAATTAGATAACTTACCATACTATATACCCTAACTTCAGGCACCTGCAAACGCCTTTTTTGTCCGAACTGTTTGCTAAAGTCTTGTTATTTTGGGATGTGAGCGATTCTGCCAGTGTTTTCACCTATTTTGATAGATAATCACCAGCCTGCCTTGTATCAAATGAATACACCAATTCATAATGAAAGTAGCCATATTGTGAACGAAAATCATGATTTAAAATGGTTTAAATGAGTAGCAATTGTCGAAAGAATATTTTTTAGATTTAACCATTTGGACGGGACCTTAATATTTCAGTTAATGATGTTGACTTGTTATTGGAACGTTTCTGACTTGTGTTATATGAACGTTTCTGACTTGTAGAACACAATGAACCATTTTTAAGTGTGGAACAGCTCCATAAACTTTATAAGATTTCCAACAAATCATCAGAGTGGATGAGGACAGTGGAAGAAGTTGTCCGAGTGATACTATCTAAATGATAATTAATTAAACGTAAATAAGAGATACTTGTCAAGGTTGAATTAGGGAATCATTACAGATACATGTTCTTTACTTGATACTTTCAAGGGGCAAGAATGCATGTAGAGAGAAAAGTTGATTTTTTACATGTTCTTGTATTTTGCCTCTTCGCTTTTTTAAAGACACTCGTCGCTATTTTGAATATGAAAAATGTGAGCATAAGTTTGCCTCAAATAAGACTTTAAAACGCCCTTATTGGCTTTAACCTGACTTGCATGCTTACATTAGTGCTAAGTTCTAGTGAAAGTTGAGAAGAAATAATTAGTTTTAATCGTTATTTACTGTTGTAACGACCCCTGGGCACGCTAGTCGGGGAGCTGTAGTGTACCAAGCCAGATACTAGACTCGAAAGAGAATGTGCTAAATTCAACGACCCGTACAGGGATCGAAACCAGGACCTCCCACTCTCGAGTCAGACGTTCTACCCCTGAGCCATAAAGGTTAGCCACTACATACAGCTGAGACTGTAGTAGCGACTTGATAACGAAGGTCATTACACTGTTAAAAATCTACTAGTTTACCTCTGGATTGTTAACAACTTAATTTGTTAATTATTATTTGTATTTATTTTATACATTGCCTCACAGCATGCAAATATTGCCTCAAATTCTTCTTTAGACTCTCCCTTTAACTTTCAATGCACTAAATTATTTAATGGCCTAAATCTATAGGTTTTACCTCTTTACGAGAGAGATGTCCACTAAGACAGGATTTACTGTAAACTTACAGTAATGATTTGAGCCCCACATATATTTTGAAAAGAATACAAAAACATACCAAATGCAACTTTTCCAAAAGAATAGACAAATTATCAAGCAACAGAACGTATGAATACAAGACAATTCTAAATCATTATATTTTTATTACGTCGAAAGCATTAAGTGTACAATTCGCAGTCGTTCACCTAGTGATAACAAGACAAGTCCGTGTCAGAATAATGACCATTCGCCGTCGTTAACTCCACTTTGTTCATTTCGGACATTTATGGCAAATTGAAGGTACAGATACTTAAGATATTAATACGATCTTTAATGTAGTGGATAGTGTTCCACGATATAAAATGATTTTTTTGTTTAAACCTGGTAAAATGACACTAATGGAGATTTAGAGCATATTTCTGGCACTTTTTGTTATTTAATGCCGATAAATATGATCTATGATGGCACGATCGCCAAAAAAAATACGTGTGTATGAAAAAGAATGTCTTAGGTAGAAGTTAATATATGTATTTTTCTAAACGATTGAATTGTATTATCTTTTTGAGCCATTCTGATGAATGTCTCATCTCATTCCCTTTCAAAATAAGTCCAAATGGTTATGAAAAACAAGTGAAAAACAAGTCCGGAACGATTTACGTTGGGTAGTATCGGGGACCGTGAATATGTCATACCACTCTTGGTGGTGACATAAGAAACCCTAGCAATCCCAAAGTCAAACGTCTCTCAACCCCTCCCGACCCACGAGCTAAGTATAAACATCATTCCCAGACCATTACACCAAGTAGCACATTATACTCGAGCCATTACAAATTGAATAAAAATACAAATTGAGAGCCAATACTCATAACAATACAAATAGTATATTAGATATACAATATTTAGAATTTGGTCTTAATGCTTTGAGATAGATATACTTCGTTGAACGTTTAAAAGGGTCAGCATCCCACTGCAAACCTAAAGCCTTCAGTTTTAGCAATTTAATTGACAATGCCTAAAATAATCCCCACATCCTTCAGCATCTCGAGTACATAAACTTAAAATCCAGATTATTATTTTACAAAAAGGAACACTGTTCATCAAACGAAACAAAATACCTCAAATAAAAATCAGTGACTATAGCATTTGGATTCACTCTCATAAACCAATCCTCTCATGAAAGCTCTTATATAGAACTAATAATTCGTTTATAAATCACAGGTAATATTGCCTAACATAATTCGCATTAGTAACATCTCACATGAAAAATCAAAAACATAATAGCCTCATGAATATACTCACAAACACGAATACCTCACATATAAATCGTAACTGATATAACAACTTCTTCAGTATAGTATATTCCTCGCTTATTATGTGGTACTGTATAAAATGCACTCAAAAAACCTAATACTCCACATAAAAAAAAACTTGGATTAATCAAACGTTATAGGATGCGCCTCACATAAAAAACAATATAGCATCATAGAGTGCACTATTTGAAAGGAATATCTTTTATAAAATTTCAAATATTATACAGAACATAGAATGAAGTTAAAAGAAACTTGTACTCCCCTAAAATAAGCTTAAAGTCCCCGTCTAAAGTTTGAAAATATTTTTTTATCATTCATTTACTATTTGTCAGGACTTAAAAAGTGATTTTAGAGATTTTTGAACAAAAAAAAATTTTTGAAAAAAAAGTTGTGAGCATTTCACTTCTCAAATATTCAAATTTCCCGCCATTTTTCAAAAAAAGTTGAAATTTCTTAATCATCAAATATTTCTTAATGCATTTCAAAAAAGATCATCTTTTTAACACCAATGCAAAGGTTGAACAAAGGACACACTATTTCAATAATAAAATG